TTTTCCAACCAACAGTTGTCTGAGTATTGGCTTTTGAGCAGTGAGCAGCTGAACCAGAGTTAGTAACAGGCTAGCTCTACATAAATGCAAGGGCAATCAAATGCCAATGGCTTTTGATTCTCTTATGGGCTCTTTTAAGAAATGCTGGAAGACCAACACTCTTTTTTTAAAAAAACTTATTTGTTTTAGCTGTGTTGGTTGGGTCTTCGTTTCTGTGTGAGGGATTTCTCTAGTTTTGTCAAGCTGGGGCCACTCTTCATCGCGGTGCACGGGCCTCTCACTATCGCGGCCTCTCCTATAGCGGAGCACACGCTCCAGACGTGCAGATTCTCAACCACTGCGCCACCAGGGAAGCCCCTAGACCAACACTCTTGAAGGGTAGAGAAGGCAGTCTTATGTGGAAACTACAGACATCATTGACTCCGATGAAATAAAATTCATATTTTATGGCAAGACAAGAAAAATTTAAACATAAAATCTTTCTTTGCCTGTTTGGGCCTCCTCCCTCCCCTTTAGTGTGTATTGTGCACCTGCATTAACCAGACATCCTTAGGAGATAATCTTCCTTCTTGTAAAAGGCCATGATGACCCATGACCCACTACTCCCTGTGTACACATAGACCTGGATTGTGTAAACTGTCAATAATACGTCATTTAACATATAGCACTCTGTCTCAAAAACTTATATAACTGTGCTTTGACCTCTAACAGATGGAAAAATTCTCAGAGCTTTCTGAGAGGCTTTCTCCAGGTTATAATCCTCAATTTGGCTCAAATAAAAGCCTCCATTTCTTTCTTAGATTGACTGATTAATCTTTTTTTTTTCCATGAACAACTCCAGGTGGAAAGTCACAATATGCTAATATGAAGGAGTTTTGGAAAACTCTGACCAATTAATTTTGTTTATATTCACAAACAGTACATGATTTTTAAAAAAATCCACGTTTAAGGCTGAAAGAGCTCAATATTTATAAAATTGTCCAAGGATAAGAAAAAATATTGGGAATAATGCCATGCAGACTATTCAAACCTTAGGAATAGATGTGATGATCTAGAAAAGGCAAAGTGAGAAAGACAGAGCCCTGTGGCATCAGACAGGTCAGGGGGTACTTAGTCAAAATCATAGACAGAAAGTAGAATGGTGGTTGCCAGGGGCTGGCAGGGAGGAGGAGATGGGGAGTTAGTTTTTGATGGGTATACAACAGCTTCAGTTTTACAAGATGAACCGTTATGGAGATGGGTGGTGGTGATGGCTGTACAACAGAATGAATGTACTAATATTACTTAACTGTATGCTTTAAAATAGTTAAGATGGTAAATTTTGTTATGCGTTTTGCCACATAAAACAATTTAATTAAAAGCAAAAAAAAAAAAATAAGAGTAATAACAACAACAAGAAAAACAGAACTATCCCCCCAAAAATCCCCCAAAAAAGGTCAGGGGCGGGGAGGGGCACTTTCTTCCCCCAGATCCAAGAGATTCGAGGAGGAGCTGCTGGAGATGAAGAAGGGAAACCTTCACTGATGGTTTCAAGGGGAAATGCTCAGTGGCAGCAAAGAAGACATATGGTAAGACTGACGCCAGCCCAGGGGCCTCAATCGAGGCACAAGTAAGAGTGCCATCAAGTAAGTGATAATGTCTCATGCTGGGCACAAAGCTGACTCTGCCATCTGGATGATGATGAGGTGTTCTAGAAACCCACCCCCCAGCTCCTCTCATTCTCTATCCCTCAAGTCCATGGTTTCCACCTTTCCTGTTCCTGTCTTGTCAGAATGTGAAACTGGTAATATAGTAGTTCCTAATTCAGTTCGGTTCGGTGTGGGGCATAGATCCCTTCGAGAATTTTACAAAAGCTGTAAGTACTCCCCCCCAATAAAACATACACATTAGCCCATATCTGTACAATTGTGCATATCTGTACAATTAGCCCATATCTGTACAATTGTGCTAAGCCTCAAACTGTTAAGACTTCCTCTGATTTTTTTGCACTCCCTCCCTCACACCCGCAGAACTTTCAATCTCAGCTCTTCAGTAACATTTCTTCCCTTATCTGACACTCAGCTCAGAAATTTACAAAACCGTTGTAGTGGTTACAAATGCTAACGTCAAGTAGACAGCACTATTTACTTGGGTGCCCCCACAAGTAGTAGATTTGGTCAATAAAGGCTTTGAGGAGGAAGTATTTTAGGCAGAACCTAATAGATGTATCAGACAAAAAGGTAAATCTTTAAAGTAGGTAGCATTTTTTTTTCTTTTTTTTTGGCCACACCGCCCAGCTTTCAGGATCTTAGCTCCCTGACCAGGGATTGAACATGGGTCCTCAGCAGTGAAAGCGCAGAGTCCTAACCACTGGACCGCCAGGGAATTCCTGAAAGTACGTAGCATTTCAGTGGCGGGGGGGGGG